CTCCTCCGGCCCGCGGGGAAATTAAGCCGTCGGGTTTGTGCCACACAACCCGAGCGGCCTTCGGACGCTGCCCAGCCAGTCTGGTTAACGTTTAACGAGGAAATGACCCGTTTCCTCATTAAATTCATTGTTTTTCCTGGCGGTCCATGGTAAAATATTTATTTTTCAATGATGTGCCCTCCCAGCTCAGGGGGAACGCGAGCGGCTCTGCCTGCCCGCAGGCATCGGACGGAGCGCGGGGTCTTCCCCCAAATCCCGGGGGCTGCTGCAGTCCTGAGGGTTTCGACTGTTTCTCCTCCAGCCTCCCAAAACAGGGGCTCCCCCACCCCACCCCGGGTTTCTCTAATTAAAAACTCAGTGCCCTCCGCAGCAAATGTTAATTGAAGCGTCACATTCGTTAACCCTCTCGGGTGTGGTTACCGTACACAATTTATGACAAAATGGGAGAGTCGGGGAAGGGAATTTTCATTTTCCATGTGAAAGTTTGGGGTTTTGGTACCGCCCGTGCCACAGACACGGGGACAGCGGTGTCTGTCGTTACCAGTGTTGGACTCTCTGCAGAAGGGCAGCAGATCCCGTCACCCCCCTCAGGCTCACGTTACGATCTGAGACAAAACACACTTTTCATCCTCTTTTATTACTTTACATCCCATTTTCCATCCCGGCTCAAGCCAAGTGCAGAAATCAGCCACAGCGTTTTCCCCTCCCCGTCCTGGCGCGATACGGTCACACACCGATTTTGCAGACAATCACTAAATTGCTCGCGTTCACACGCAGCCCCACACGAGCTCTCTGAAAGCCCACGCTGCTCCCTCCATCCCCGGAGCCAGGTGGCAGCATTGCCCAAATTCTGCAGCCTCTGAGAAGCCATAATACATCTTTTTTTTTTTTTCTCTTCTCCCCTACAACATTTTTATAAGCCAGTTATTTTGGTAAACCACAATGCGAACGCCGAGTCTGACTCTTAATGGAAGAGCCTGATGCGACATCTCCCAGTTGAGCGCCACGCCCTTTGCGAGAACTCCTTGTTTCCCCCAAAAAACCTCCGGAGCACAATGTCAACCTGGATCAGGCTTTTAAGACCCGGCTCTGCACCCCAGTCGAAGCACCCCGCTCGCTCAAACTCCCTCCCCTTCCCCAAAATCACGCGCCCAAGCAGCGAGGCAAGAGAACCCCTCTGCGAGAGGCAGCTTTAACGCCAAAAGCTCCCCCCAGGGCCACGGGAATTTAACTGTTGTACAAGGGAACCACCCGGGAGATGGCCTGCCGGCAGATCGGGCACCATTTGGGCTCGGGGAGGGCCCGGTAGCACTCGCTGCATGAGCAAACGTGCCCGCACTCCAGGAAGACGCAGGATTTGGTGTTGCTCAAACAGATGACGCAGGCGTTTTTGAGCGTCTCTCCGCCTTCCGCTTTCATTTCGCGCATCAGTCGCTCCTGGGCCTGCCGGAATTCATCCTGCATTTGTTTGAGGTGCCGCCTGTCTCGGTGATGCCGGTACTGCTTCCGTAGGATGAAGAAGAGGACGGCGCAGGTGGCAAAACCGAAAACGACGGTGAGGATTTTCCAGAACCGGACATTCGATTCTTGTTTCTGCAGCAAGGAGTCGAAATCCACGCCGCTGAGGTAGTAGGGCAGGCCCTGCTTCGGGGGCTGCAGCTTGATCGTGGTGTTATCCAGGACGAGCTCTCCCACCCCCGTCAGCGCCGTGCCCACCTTCAGCATCTGCTCCGTCTCCTGGATTCCCTTCGGGCGCTCTCCGCTGATGTAATGGCCGATGACGTCAGTGAAGGACTGGACGGAGGGGTGAAACTTTTCGTACACTGTCTCCAGGCTGAGCTCGGCGGCGTCCAGCGGCTTCATCACCCTGACGGTGACACCGGCACCTTCCTCCAGAGGGACCAGGTCGAAGGGGGTGGTGTTGGTTCTCTGGTGGATGATCTTCTCGTAGTCGTTCCTGGGGAAGGAGAAGGGGATAAAGCAAACGCGAGCGTTAACGATTCCCCTCGAGGCCGGCGAGGAAACACCGTGTGGGGTGACTTGCTGTTTTGGGGTACTGCTGGTTGTCACCCTGCGGGAAATTTATCTGGGTGGGACCCGCTGGAGAGCGGCGCTTCTCCCCTCATGGCACCCTCTGCCTTCGCCTCAACTCTTCTGCAGTCCCCGCTGCAGCCCACCAAATTCCTCCTCACCGCCCCACGGCATTCCCAGCTGCCAGAAACCACCCTGCAAGTGAGAAGTGCTGCCTGTCGCACACGTAAATCTGATAAGCGTTATCCAATTAGCTGAGGC